CCACCAGTACAGCACTTTAATTCTCTTCTGAAAGGTTTCCCCTTATCACCTCAAAATTGATCCTCCCAACACGGGTGTTTAAGTGTTTAAGCACTTGATTTTGCATCCATTTCAGTGAAAGTTGAGGAAGAATACAATACTAAGATTAAAACACTTCTATGGTAACCCAGAGATTTATAGAACATTGGCAAAGCTCTCAAAACATTGTATTAACCTGAGAAAATATCCTGTAGGTTTTCTTTCCAAGAGAAGGAAGTGCCTCTAGAGGTGGATTACAGCATAAGCACTGTTCAGCTGGGATCACGAACTTTTAATCATGAGACTACATAAGAATTGCAACTTTCGTCTTTTATCCAGCAGTGCATCATGCTGGCTTCAGATGAATTTATTGAAAACTTCACAAAGAAGTATGTTTAGTTCATTCCTCTGTTATCTACTACCTGGCTACAAAGCGTAAAGTTGTTTGGGTTGGGGAGCACTTGCACTGCCAGAGGAAGTCAGTCCAAGGCTGAGTACAGCCAGCATGTATGGCCTTGCCATGTGTGTCAAGAACTGCATGTGCCTGAGCTAAAGAAGAGCAGATTACAGGCAAAGGTTTTGGATTTGCTGAAGATTGATTTTGTAATGAACACAGAGCTGCAAGGGAAAGAAAAAAGCAAAGAAAAAAAAAAGCAAGGAAAAAAAGCACAAAACAACTACCAACAAAAAATGAAATTGAAGAAAAATCCAAGGGTGAAAGAGGGAGAAACAAAGGTATCAGATCCTGTTGTTGGAGGAATGTCTCTCTCCAGTAAGGACCAGAACACAAAAGCAGTAGGTTTTCTGAACAGTTCTGTCTTCCCATCTCCTAAGAAAGAGACTACACTAAAAGGCTTTTAAGAACTTAGAAAACATTTCAGGGCATTTGGGTTGCAGGATATCAATGGACACACTGGCTACATATTGAGCAAAGTCTACCCTGGGAGGCCCTCAAAGACTAGATGTAGAGAGTTTCTAGATTGGAAAGGTCTGTGGGCTTCCAGAGGTTTAGATCCAGAAGCACAGGAGAAGGTGAACATTCGTATGAACTAATTCCTCTTGGTCATTGATAAAAGTTTCAAAATTTGGTTTTAAGTCTATCCTACATAGCAAAGCCTGTAAAACAATAAGTAGTTAGAAGCATCTCTGAAAGCTCAAGATATTCCAGTCATGTCCAATCTGAAAATCCAAGAGATTTTAGGATGATGTGCAAACCACAGGTCCATCACGGGACTCTGGAATTCATAGAAGACCTTCTATAACAAAAATATGAAGGGCCCAGGGCTGTTTTCTCAGCCTGTCCAAGTGAATGTAGCCTCTCAGTTGTACCCAGTTTGAGTAGTCCTGTGATAGATGAGATGACCATATAGCAAAGAGGAGCTCCAAGTCAGCATCTGTATAGACCAGCTCTGATCTAGCACAGGAATAGAGCTAATTGAAGTTAAGTCTTATTCAGTTTCCTCAAGACTCTGCAGTATAGATTCCTTCTTATGAGACACAAGGCCAAGTTCAGAAAACCTATTGCTTATTTTTGCCTTGAGGTTTTGATTGCGTGCTACTGCTGGGGAGAAGCACCCTTTCCAAGGGCACAGCAGAGCCCAGCTGGATTTTCAGGTCAGTGCTTGGCAGATCCTTGAAGATGATGCAAGCAGACTTGTCTTTCCAGAGTAAACCAGTGCTAAAGCACAGTGACACAGGGCAACATTCTATGGCCTTGGATGAACTGTTATTCCAATATTTGGAGATTTTAAAAATAGCAAGCATTTTACAGCATTTTTGGTAAGACTGGTGGGTGGTCTCCTCAGATGGCACCCCTAATTGTTCCAGTATTTGTTTTTCACTAAAAGCTGCCTGTGTTTTCAACTAGATAACTTCATTTTCTGATCGAAATTACTTTAAGACTATCAGTGAACCATATACAGCTTAAGAGATACACAGTTTAAGAGATATCCTCCTTAATCACAGAATCAAGAAATTATTACTAATAATATGTTTCTAGAAGGCCATTTTACTTATTTTAATCATGGTAAATTGAAGAGCATTAGTTTTCTTATTTGTCTATAATCCACATGTACACTGCTTTTAAGGTTTTAAAGAAAATACTATTGTAAGCACAATACCATTAAAATTATCAAGTCAAGGCATAATAATTCCATAAAATTGTGGGCATGATTGATTTTTTAATGGGCTGTTGTAACTTGTTCTCTGACCCCCCTAAGGATTTTTGCTCCTAGCCTCTCATACATAGTAAATTCATTAAATACAACCTATTTCCCCAAAGTATTGCATCACTTTAGAGGTATATACTATCAAACAAGTGAATTGTATGCTAAAAAAATTGAGGGGAAAAAAATCCACAGAAAACAAAGTTAAAATAGCAGCCATGATGAGCCAACACTGACAGTAATATTTTACTCTGTCTCCTAGTAAGAATTTTGAGCAATTGTTCAGTTAATTTGCAAGAGTACTCTTCATTAACAGCATGTATCTAACATCATAATTTTACAGGATCAAAAGGAAACTCTCTGCAATCTAACTGCAAAAATATTTAGTCTCTATGGACCAAATCAACATCTGAATTTTTCAGAAACATAAGGAAGCACCTCACACATTTGGTTGCTATTTTATTATCTTTTATTAGTTGTACATGCCACTACCCCAAAGAAGTTGCATTCTCTTATAGACATAACACAAAGGAAAGCAAATACACAGGGAAAGAGAGTAATGGGAAGAGGAGGACCCATGTTACAGTAACATCAAGCTGTTATGAAGTTCTGGCACATGCATTTTCTGCAGTTTCAGTGAACACTTAAAATTGATTTTATAACAAATGAGGAGTGAGATTCTAGGAAAGATTCAAATTGGTTAGCATAACTTGATGGACAGGGATTAGGAATTTGCTCCATGCATTGAGGGCTATACAAATAATTTCATAATTCTACCTTGGAACCCAGCGTGACTATTGCAACCTCTCTTATATCATCACATGGGCAGTCTATACTCTCACCATTCTTACGGAGAGAGACAGAGAGACACAGAGAGACAAAGAAAGAGAATGAAGAGAGAGAAAATGTTACTAACTCACATGTAAATTCTTTCTTCTTTGATTAAACGTATATGGCTAATTTTATGGGGACCTAATGCTACTAAGAAACCCTCCAAGCAGGGCCAGCTGGGGTTCAGCAGGGTGTATGAAGGAAGCAGAGCATTGCATGCATGGCCAGCTGTCCTCCTGCCCTCAGCTGGCTGGAGCAATGGAGGCAGCTTTCATGGCTCTGCACCTCTGGCAGGAGTTTATCCACCAAGGGACTGCTCTACCCATGCGTAAAGGGAAGTTGGCTGCACAATCACCTTCATATCCAAAGTCACTTATTTCCTTCAATTCCAGTCTTCCCCTTTAGCATTTAATCTGAAAGCATTTAGTTTTAAAAACAGGAATAAAACCCTGCCTCACTTTTGTTAAAAAAGAGAAAATAAAAACCCATCAGACAAGTAAAAAACATCCAGGCACTATAAGCTAGCCACCCTCTACTGTCAGAATGGATGGAGAAGGACATGAATAAATTTTTACATCAATTTATGCTAGTATATTTGTTAAAGAGTAAAAAACATCCAATAATATAATCTAAATGGATGGTCACAAATGATGAAGTTTCTGGAATTTAACAAGTAAAACTAATGAATGTATATTCCTAGCCTGCCTTAACTGTAACATAAATCACTCAACCTTAAAAGAACTGAAAGCAAACCATTTTAGGATTAACTGAGACTACTACACAGGAGTTACTGTGCCTCTGCTATCCCACTGAGCTGTTAGTGATTAAACCATCATTTATAACTTTTGCTCTTACCCGCAGAAGACCAAGGTACATAGAGATGATGGTTAAAGGAATCATGATGACTAACTAGTGATACCTCCTGTACAAAGACAACAAAATTTCCCTCCAGAGTTCCTGCATTAATTCTAAATTTATGATATGATATTTAAATAAATAATTCTAATTCATACTTCACTTTCACCGCTAAATGTGTCTGAATCTACTTAGCAATCAAATTTTGTAAAGTTTGTTTCCTTACTGAAGTGATGCTACTCAAAGAGGTTGTCTTTCCACACACATCCCCGAATACTAGTTAATATATAACCTAAGCTTTCCAAGATTTTGATTAAATTGATCTAAGAGACACCAGAGTCTAGGCCCCAAATATCTACGATTACAAGAAACAGGATGAAAACTGGACTGGAAACACTGAGAAGAGCATATGACATTTATAACATATAGGGTCTTTTATGTTAAGGAAAGCTGACAAGGAAAAATAGAGGTACTCACCACTCATTTTTACAATTAGCAGTTTAATATACATATTATTCCATAAACAGACTGCATGGCACATAAATAGACTGAACTCCAGTGACAAATATACTGGTAAATATAATTTTTAGGTTTTTCCTAAATTTATCAATGAAAAAACTAGATATGCAAGACTTTGAAGAAAAATATAAAACATACTTCATTCTATATAAATATTTGATTTTTGAAAATGTCAATAAAATCAGGTATAGAATATATAGAGACAACATTTCATTTTATTACTTCAGTCTCCTCAGTAAGGAAGGGAGCTCTGGGTCTATAAAAGATGCTTAACGCAGCCAAAGGAGCTGTTGATACTAATGTCCAAAATAAATCCAGCTTTGTCTTGTTATTTAAAGTACATAAACATATCAACATGTGGGAAATTTCATCAGTGAAAATCGAACTTCAGTTATTTAATTTAAAAAACAAACTCTCTCTATCAAGGTTTAAGCAAATACTGAAGTCTACCTCTCCTGTTCTTGCTTCATTCGTATTCTCTCCTCTTCTGAAGTAAGAGCTTCCTGCACTTTTATTTTACCAGTTTTCTCACTCTTGTCATCTTTGCGATGTTTGCCAAACCTGTTAATAACACACAAAAAAAGAATCTAACTTGTGAAATGAACAAAATTGTATTTTCCTTTTCCTATGACAAAGAGAGTACTCCAAGAAGGACTGTTTGGAAACCCGGAAGAGAAAGTGCAAAGACCTCAGAATCTCAGTTTTTAATATTTTTAGGCTGCTTCTGGGTTTTTTTGCATACTTTTTTTAATTTTATTTTTATTTCACTCCCCTTAAAAGTTTACATAATTCCTCATTAAAGAACAGAACAATTGGAAAAAATAATAATTGGACCACATTCTTCTTTCATGCCAGGACTTTGGGGTTGCTGTTCCTAAATACACAGTCAAACAATGTTTTGCAGCACTATCTCTGCCAAAGAATGCAACTCAGGTTTCACATGAAGCAAGGGTTTCTACATGTGGACCTCAAGAGACACGGAGCTGTACGTCTGACAGCTGCCCAGAGCTCAATCCTGCCCTCCGTACCCAACCCCGCAAGGGCAGTTTCACCACACAGTGGACGCCACTCAAGAATGTACATTTATTCTTTTTTCAGTAACAAGGTTTTTTAAAACTTTATTGCTCATGACTCTTTTTTCTCCAAGGGTATTCCAGTGCCAGGAGGGTGAGGGGAGAGATGGAGCTGGCTGGGCTGTCCCAGACAGATCGGGGTGCTGCCAACCCCGGGTTTGCCCTCTTCACATCTCCTCTCCCCTCTACCGGCTACATTTCAAGTATTTTAGATTTCTTCCATATTTGCACATTCCACTGTTTTCTTTGAACTTTCAGGGAGAGAAGAATTTGGTATTTGAGATACTCAGTTATTATAAGGACAAAATTACACATATTTCTTAAGACACTTCTGACCCATTCTGAAAGAAGTGACTTTTGTACAGAGGGAACCAAACAAACACTTAAATATAACCTTTAAATAGATCTAAATCTTAGATGAAAAATTTCTGTTTAAGGTAGAAGGGCTAACACTTTTCTATTAAACAATATTTTATTATATATAAACCAATTAAATGAGGTATCATTTATCACAGCAAAAGCAGCAAGGATTTTACTTTTTTTAAACTAAATGCTCATCTGAGAGCTGACTGGTACTGTGGCACTTCACACTCAGGTTCACATCAAAAGTGAAATAAAATCACTGAAACATCCAATGAAACATGTCCAGCAACAGTGCAGACAGGACATCCCAAATGCTCACAAACAGTGAAATAAACCAGGGAGTTCTTAAAATTTTCTTCTGACCTGTTAACCTCTTTAAAATATCTAGAATCCACCAGGCATTCATAATATAATATTTTCCCATTTGTTCCTTTTGATTCTAGTACAAAGTCATTGTGTGGGTTGAAGACACCCCACACAGCAATCCTGCAGAATGATTAACTTCTGGCCACTCCGTCGAAAGATAATATTTACACTGGGTAATCATGTTTATGGCTCTTAGGGCAGCTCTTAAAAACACAACAACACAAAAACATAGGAGCACGTACACAAACTTTAAAGTAATTCAAGCACCTGAAAACTAAAACTGTTCATTAATAACCACCTGAAAAGGGATAGGCAGAGGACATGATATCGTTAAGAAATACAAAATAGGACGTCTGATTTTATAATCTCTTATACATAAAACGGACATATTTAATTTCAGTCATTCAAAACACCAACGTGTATCTTTTAAAACATCCACTTGTTTATTAGAGAGTAGTCAAAACTATTATACAAAACATTTACGTATATGACACAAGAGATTCAAATCAAGTTCTGGATGTTTTACACCAGACAAAAGAGAATGGTTAATTTAAAATAGCCCTAAAACCTCTAGCCAAAAGAGGAGTTTTGACAGAAAAACAGTAGAACTGAGCCATTTCACTCTGATAGACAGAGAGTGCCTGAGGTGGCAGCACGGGTCTGACTGACAGAACACGAAGAGCTAAGAAGAGACAAGTAACATATGTGGGACTGTAGCACAGCATCTCTGAGATGCCCACTTTGGCTTCTGTCTCCTGTCCTTCCTCAACCCATTCAAAATGTTAGGTAAAGCAATTGAATCAAAATTTGGAGTACCCAGTTTATTTTTGGAAAAGAACTAGTGGTTTCAGAAAAAAGGGGAAGGGGTGAGAGAAATTGCATTAGCTAGTGGCCATTAGGTTTTGGCAGCAAAACAGAATTTCTGCCACCATAAATCAATTCATTGCAAGTATGAACAGATATATACTGAAATCAATATCTTATTAGAAAAATAAAGCACACAGGAAATTTCTAATAATCCTTGTAAGCAATCTAGTAAATGTATGGTCAGGCTTCATGACTGTGGGAAGAGCATTTCTAACATTAACAGGAAATCCAAAACTAGCAAAATTCAATGGTTTGAGTTTCCAGATCCAAACACCCAAGTCCAGAGCACACTGCACTCATGCTGCGTTCCCACAGTGGCAGAGGTAGGTACCACACATGCAGCACTCAGAGCAGCACGAGGGATCAGTTTGCTTTGACTTATGAGCAAGCTGTGGCAACAACCCTTCTTCTTTTTCAGGGTTTTCTTTCTGGTAAAGAATGTTTCTTCTGCCCTCGGGGACCGTTCTGATAAAGTCTCTGGAAGACACCTCTGGTCTTTCCCAGGCATTTCAGAGGGTGGCCATATTGTTCCCACTCTGACCGGAGACTTTCCAGTGCTCATATCCAACAAGCTCTGTGGTCATCCTAGCCCAGTAGAGTATGAACCACGGTGGTCTTGTGAAGTTGCCTTCTCTGGACTTTGTCACCCACAGAAGTGATATATCTGCCATAATCACCACTGCCTGTAACAAGTTCATCAACATTAACTGCACTGTCCCTACACTCCAACCCAGAATAACAAACACCATCCTCCCCCCTCCCTGATTGTGGCTTCAGGATTTTAGCATAGTTGTTAGTTGTGGATTAACAACCTAGAAGCATCACTAAGATGCTGAGATAGCATCTCAAGAAGATGCTGAGAGAGCCACCAAGCACTTGAGAAAGGTGTTGAAAAGAACTGTGATGGAGATACATTTGTAGACACTCCCCACCTCCTTTATTTCTGTAGGAGCAGTCAACACTCCCCACTCCAAACATCATTCAAAGTCTTTGGCAAGATTACTCTTGCTAGCAAATAAGTGTATTTGCTATTTACTTCTATTAAAAGTGTTTGCTCCATGAAGTGTGATTTATAGTCATAATGAAACCCATAGCCCAAATCAGCATCCTCTCCACCAAATTTATAACAGACATTTATAAATTATTTAACAGTCGTATTCAAGCTAAGTTTAACTACAGAAAAGCAACATCCAGCAATGCTAAGGCACACCATTAAAACCAGCTGTTAACACTCCATCAACTGTACTGTGGCATGACTTCACTGGTGACAAGCTATTCACAACCACCAGTCCTAATTTCCTCAGGTAGATGTTTCCTACACTGATTCATGAATATTAAGCAAAACAGGACACTTAGAAATAAGACTATTCAGACCACCAAAGTTCAAGAAGCCTATGCAATAGCCCTTCAAAACACCAAAGGCACATCCCACAGCTACTATGTATTGTCTTCACAACCAGTGGTAAAGCCCTTTTTGCTGCTGTCTGATGGCCCTTGTTAAGTTGTGTCAGTCAAAAGAAGCAAAGTATGGGTCAGGTTCCAGGAATTACTCCCAGTATTTAAAACACACCAGACTGAATGCACTGGCAAACCGAAAAGAACTGGCTTACCTAAGTAAAACTTTCACCTTCTTACAGGTGTAACTGGCATAGTCCCTGCCTTGCCCCATGAACATTAATGTGTGTGCCACCTCTGCAATCCACCAGGCTTTGTGTCATTGTGAATCTTACCTCTTTTACTGCTCAGGTACTCAAAAGGAAGTAAAGATGGAATTAGGATTTATGTCCCATACATGACCCATGGCAATTTTGGAACCTTACTGCTTCCAGTATTATTTCTTCCTTAATCCATACATTGAATGGCTTGACACACTCGCACAGTAAGTTCCCCCACTGAAGTGACTGCTCACTTACTGATAACCTATGGCTGTGACTCCCAAAGTGCAATCATTAACGATATCTCACTTGTAAAATAGCAATCACCATCCATTTGTCCTATGCCAGAGAAATTCTAGACTTTTGCAAGGCCTTAAGGATACAGCCAAGTGCTGTGATCCCAGCCCTTGTTTCTCCCTCCCCAGACGCAGGAGCTGTTCTCTGCTATGTGCAGCTGGTTAGCAGTGCCTGAAGCACCTGGTGATTGTCAGGCACTTGTCTGAACCTGAGATGGTCTCATTCTCAGCGCTGTAAGGCTGGCTGCTGGGATACTTGTTGCAGTTCTTACAAATGCAAATGAAATGACAACTTTCCTTCTGATGCAGACATGAAAACTCCACCACTCAGCATCTGTGCACAGCAATACTCCTTGCATTAATGAAAAGGAGGACAGTGCTTAAAAACAAAGGTAAAAACTACTGTTGGAATTAAAACCCAAAACCACACAGAAAAGGAGCGTCTGTGGCACTGATGTTCTGACAGTCCTGAGAATCTAATTCTAAGCTCTTGTCACATGCTAAGTTCAGTGCCAACAATTTGACTGTGAGCTATAAAAGCCCTACCTAAATCAGCGCACAAGATACCAATCCACAGACACAAGCTACTACATGATGTGCAACAAAATTACCTACACTACTGCCTCACAAAGTTGTCATATTCATGATGAAAACAGTTCTGTTGCTAAAGCTTGAGCTGCACCAGCTACTGCGGAGCACCTGCAGCCACAGCAGCACAACACTGACCTGAGGCCATCACTTCCTTCTATCTCAGTTCTGAGAGGCAGAACACAGAATATTGTTACCGAGGGTGGAAAATATACGGAAGAAAAAAAAAGCGCACATTTTCCTCCAAACCCCACGTAATAAAAAAATTACCACTCTGTTCACAAACATACCCTCTCATAGACATAGCTTAATACTTCTTGGAGGACACAAACTGTATGGTTATAGAATAATCTCTTTATAATAGCAACAACATTTACCTCATGTAACAGCTAGTTTATTCAATCGCTCTCTTATTTAAACCCTGTTATTAAATGTATAGCTAAAAAGTAATTTTATTTTGCAACTGCACAAGCAAAGGCTTTAAGAAAAAAACTTCGATGACTAATTGAAGTACAGGTTGTAAATTAAAAATACCCTGTCTGTCCAAGACTGTGAGAAATTGATGAAAGAGAGAAGCTGAAATCTTGTTCACTCTAATTGCCAAGATACTCCAGGGTTCTACTTAATTTATAGCTTCTTAATTCTCCTTTTACATTAAGAGCTACAGAAAGTTTCAAGATAAGTGTAAATGCTCAAAGTCATATTCACAGATCCACAGAGTTAATCCTCAAATTCAGCCAACAATAGCAATTACGGCTGAGTGAAGAAACAAAAAATTGTAAGAGGACTCTTTTTTAAAAGCATGATCTCCAGAATATAACAGCCAAGTCACATCAGAGGAAAAGACCATCCTCAGACCTGTGATGCTAGTTTGTCACATTATTAATAAAAAGACAAGAATGCTGTAAGCTTGACTCTCAAATACGAAATCCCATGAACTCTGGATAATCTAATCAAACTAAAATGCATATCCAAACCTCTCTGTCAGTCTCTAGTTGGCTCACTTTCAGGCTTACTTACTTGAATGACTGTCACCAACTAGGAGGTGACCTAATCCAAAGCCTATCACATGGAACAGAGAGGCACTGACTAGGAATTGCCTTCAGTGGCTTTGGGCCAATGCATTAGAGTAACTAAAAAGAGAAGACAGAACATTTAAAGAACATGCTCAAACTATGATATGATGTCATGTATATAAAAAAATGTGAAATGTATATAAAATAGATATAAAGAACACGTAAATGATTTTGCAAAAACAAGACATAAATGCAGACAGAACAAGTGAAGAAAGGAGGACGTATGAGTGGTAGCAACAGAAATTTCACATGTACAAGGTGTCTCAAAAATAGATTCGTTTTAAAGGAATACACATCAGCATCCTTGATATAAGAAAAATAATATACACATAATCTGCTAAATGGATTGTACTCTGATGCGATACTGATGAGATCATTGTCTTCTGCCAAATCATCCACATATTTCATTAGAATAAAGAGCTATGGAAGAAACATGCATTAGTTGATTAATGAAAAAAAAAAAACAACACAAAAATTGATTGAGACAAAAGTTCAGTAGCATTATGTTCCTTAATACAAAAAAGGCCATCATTAAAAATTAACTAATGGTAAGTGTCTTGAGATATTCTGTCAGTGTTTTCTGTCTTCAAGGCATGCTCTTTTCCTCGCAGTAGCAAACTATTCACACGTGCACAGACACGTAACCTAACCCTACCCAAAGGATTTTGCAATGATTTCTGCGATCTCTTTCACCCTGCTGTATCAGCAAAATCATCAGGTTTATATTGCAAAATATTATTGTGACACACAAAAACATTCTGTCGCTTAAAAGAATATTAATAAACATAAACAAGGACTTAACACAGCACACAAACAAAAATCACCCTGTGCAGTGATGATTTGAGTTTACAAGCCTTCCTTTCCAAGTAAAATTGTGCAAGTGCTATTTTTAAAAATATGTTTGTAAGTGCAAATATTTACATATTTGCAATGGATTTCTTGAATTAGCCAGTTATCACACGTAATCAAATTAGTAGATCCTATTCTACTTGTTAGGAGGGAGTGGAGCGACTGCTGAGTGACTCAACAGCAGCAGTGTCCTGAGATGACACAGAAGCACTGATGTACAGCCACCTTGATGTAGGAGCTTGTGGGCATAATTAAAACAGACATGTATAACTGCATTTTCTGTGGGTTTCTTCACCTATATTAAAACTGATAAAGCAGCAATCTTTCTCATGCAACATTCAGCAGAAGATCCCTGTCCAGGAGGGTTCCTGGGGAACTCTGCTGTCACAAACCAAGGAAAGCACACTACAAAAGGTCATAGGTAACTCGTGAAAAGGAAGAATGCCCTGAAAAGGTACACTTGTACCTCTTCAGAGCATAAATTGTCTTCAAGTTTAGCCACAAACATAGAAATTCAAACCAGGAGAACCGAAGTGGTTATCACTGCAAATTATCAGTCCTTTTAGCGGCCACCTTGGGCCTGAGTATTGTAAAGCACGTGACGGTCTGTGTTATATTCAGATATTTTCTCCCAACAGCCTCTGCATCACCTTCCAAACATCAAGAAACATTTAACAGTATCGTTCATTTGGGGATTCTAGTTCATCTCAGCAAACTAAGTCTATCAAAAACAACAGCCAGGACGGCACATACATTGCAACACTTCATGAACAACATCACCGGTGATTCCCGCAACAACTTCCTGGAATGAAGTGGAAACAACATATGCGATCGGTAACTGTTTCCAGCCAGTGAAGCTTAATCTGCCTGTCTTCATGAGTCAGTATCCCAACTTCATACAAAATGGGTATAATGCCAAACCAAGAGACATGTCATGAGGTTTCATTCAATTATTTTCATAAACAGTTTTGATAACATTTCCTGAAAGGCATGACACAACAGGCAGAATATTATTCACACCAAGTCGCTCTCTTTTCACAACTTAAGCATTTGTAATATTTACTTCCAGCATAAAATGGTGGAACTTTTAAAAAACAGATTTCTTTTACCGAAAGACCATCTGTTTGCAAATTTCTAAACAGAAGATAATCTTCTTGCATTGCTACTCATGATCGCCTAAAGCTAGTTAAAGTCACGGACAGTTCTAATAAATAAATAA